CATTTCCCCCAAGTAAACGCTCGCGGCAGCGACTTCTTTGAAATCGTTCCCCCATGGACTACAAGGATCCAAACAGAGCGGCAGCGACCAGGGCATACGGGAGTATTATATAGCCCACATAGCATGAATCTAGATGCGGCGGAGCGTCCGTGCACTCTTGGTACTCGTGACTAAAACCTGTGGTTTTCAGGGCATCTTCCGAAGGTCTGAGACCCAGTCGGGCTTCCTCTGGCCTCTGAGTCCGATTGCTTTTGCCAACTTCAAAGGCCCAAATTCAAATCTCCAGAGTCTAGAGCTTTTTGCATCCAGCCTGCAAGAGCCTCTGCTGGGAACCTAATGAGGGCTTAGAGCAGAGAGCTCAAGCCCTGAACTGGGAAGCCCTAGAAGCCCCAAAGTTCAAAAAGCCCCCAAAGCCCCCCGTTGAAGGAAGCTACCTGTGTGTCTGGGGAGCTCCCGGGCCAGTTTTTTGGGGAGCCCAAGCCCTGAACTGGGAAGCCCGAGAATCCCCAAAGTTCAACAAGCCCTCAAAGCGCCACAATTCAGCTACCTGTCTCGGGAGCTCCGTTTGGTCTAAGGCGAAGCTACCACCACAGCTCCTTTACCTGTCTCTCGGTTGCTTCGGCCCCCTCTTCTCACCGACAGCAAGAATCACGGAGCCGACCTGAACTCACAGCTTACAGCTTCCCGACCTCGGAGACCTTAGAGATTTCTCGGGGAGAAGGGGCTTCGATGGTGCGAATCGGGGGAGCCCTCGGGTCTTCCCCGGGCCTCCTTTGGAAGCTTCGGGATTGAGGGTTTTTTAAGGGAGTGAAGATGATAAAAAAGGGTCTTAACCGAGGAAGCAGACTGAAGAGTGAGCCGGATAGCCTGCGGCCTGCGGCTTGGCAGTGTGTCTGGCCTTTTACTGTCACTGCGTGCCCGACCCTGGGATGGGACATAGGACAAAGCGGGTCCGGACTCCGAGGGCCCGGCAACTCGAGCCTGCAACGCCTCTGAAGGGAAACATATAGTCTCAAGTTGTTCAAGAGGCGCGAAAGAAGCAGACTTATAGTATGCAGCAAAAGCATCATCCGCCATCTGTCCGTCAATATCCGAAATGCAGAAGCTCCGAATCCACGGATGTGTAAAGCTGCACCGCCTTTAATCCTCGACTCCAGAATCCAGCGCCCTACTTGCGAGGTCAAGAAGTATGAAACGTGCGCGCAAGGAAGAAGCCGCCGAAGATGGTAAACAGCTCGCAAGTTGGAGCTTCCTATGGGCGCTGGATGCAGCAGCTCGGTTCAGAGAGTAGCCTCGCCCAGAACCAGTGCGGTCTGAGACGCTGGGTCTCTCAAGTCGCAGACGTCGTACTCCATCTCCTTATTAGTTGCCATCTCAAACCCATAAGCCCGAAGTCTTCAACCCACAAGCTGCGCTCCATGAAAGGCCCAGGCCCATGCACCCAAGGTGGTGAGCCCCCAGCCCGACGGGTTCGGATGCAGGCTTCCACTCCAAAAAAGGGATTTTTGAGCTTGCTCTCTGATCTGATTCAAGTTGAAGGACTGCGGGATCTTTTGGCCCATACCACGGATGCCTACAGCAGGACGCAATGTTCCAGGCCCCTGGCCACAGGGATAGAGCTCCCTGCTGGCGAGATGAAGGTGTAGATAAACTGGTGGTTCTGAGGGGGTTTTCTAGCTATTCTAGCTGCTTCTGTTGTCCCTTCTTCCCCAAGCTGATCTGGCACCTTATAATAAACCAGTGTCTGCAAGCACCCCGAGCATACTGATCTGTACATCTCCTGAGAGTCCGCCACGAAAGCGGGAGCTTCTGAGACTCAGGCTTCCAGCTCACCGGATCTCTGCGTCTTCAACAGTCGGCAGTGCGCGGCTTCCCTTGGGGCGGAAACCCACTTACTGTAAACCAAAGAGATGGCTGAACATTTTTGGCCGAACAAAAACCAAGAGAAACGCGGGATCTCGCGACTGAAAGTGCTCCGGCTCCCGGGCCCGCGGCTGACGGACTGATCGGTTTTGTCCATCATAAAAAAAAGAAGGCACCTCCAGGACTGGGCTGCAGCACAAGGAAGCAACTCCCCGGGGCATTTTTGTTCACGACTTGGGGATACTACTTGGAGGGCTTCATGAGGACTTATAGACCCTTCCGGCGCCCTTTCTCAAGAGTTCCTGGAGCTTCTGATTTTCCGGTGTCCAGCCGACCGGATCTTCTTGATCAAGAGACATTCTCAGTCCAGGCTTTGGGTTCGCATTTCGGGACGCCTCTTGGGGTCCAGAGACGAAATCCCTCGAACTCAGCCTTAGCAAGCCAGGCGATCGGTTTCCGTTGAACTATGAGTCTATGAGAAACACAAGCGGGCAGCAGCTGCGCTTGAAATGCAATGCCCGGCCTGCGGAAGGATCAATCCTTTGTCATCCGCTGTGCATCAACAAAGTGAAGGTTCCTCCAAAAGGGCAGCAGATGGCAGCAGCACAACGAAGCAATACGATGCAACTCGACTGCCGTTTTCGGGGAGATGCCCGCTCCGAAATCTGTGCCCCCCCTAACCCTTCGCTACCCCGAGATCTGCAAGGTAAATTGATTGCAAGGCGTGCACAGTTTGTCAGCCGGCCCGATGCTCAAGCTGTGTGCGGCGAGGTCCCGTTTCAATCATGAGAGCGGGCGATGAGTCATTGACGGTTTGGTGAGACAAGAGACTTCAAGGAGCTAATTGCCTTTGAGCTCCTCCGCCTCTGGGTCTGACATTGCCCTTTCTTTTGCATCTCTGCTTATTACCGCCCTGGCCGCAGCAGCGCCACCAGCCGCTTCGCGGCCTCCTGCGCCGCCGGCGTCCCGGACGTCTCCAGCTCGGCGGCGACGTCCAGGGCTCCCGAAGCCTTCGCCTCGCTCAGGCCCTGGGGGTGGGCGCACAACTTGAGCAAAAGCTCCGCGGCCGCCTCCTGCCCTCTGTCGGTGCCACGGTCGCCCATCAGTTCCACCAGGCCAGGGACCGCTTCGGCTTCCACGATGGCCGCCACGTTCTCCACGTTCTCCGCGAGGTCGTCCAAGATCCCGACGACGCCGTGCTGATGAGCGGGTTCACAACGGGTCAGCAACTTTGCCAGCACAGAGATCCCACCAGCTTCCACAATGGCCACACGGGTGTCCTCGCGGGACGAGAAAGGCCGAAGCGCCTGCGCGGCCGCCGCCTGCAGGGCCGGTCGGACGTTCGTTAGCAGCAGCGCAATCAGCGGCTCGATCGCTCCCGCGGATGCGATGGAAGCCTGGTTGGCCTCGGCGATTTCCGTGGCCTCCGGCATGGGGACGAACTCACCGTCGACGACGATCCAATCCGCCATCAAGTGGCCGAGAGCTTGTGCTGCAAAGTGCCGGGTGGTTATATCCGTGCCTGTCGTCAGACAGCTCACCAGCGGAGGGATGCCACCGGGCTCGGCGATGAGAGCCTTGTTGCCTGCGTTTTTCGCCAGCTCCCCAAGCGCCTCTGCAGCCCATCCCCTGACATAATCACCACTGCTGCGCAACAGCTCCACCAGTGGAGGGATCGCACCGGCCTCGGCGATGAGAGCCTGGTTGTCTGCGCTTACCGCCAGATTCCCAAGCGCCGCTGCGGCCCATTCCTGGACATCACCACTAGTACTGCCCACAGCTCCACGAGTGGAGGGATGCCACCGGCCTCGGCGATGAG